GAGTCCTGAATAAGCCTGAGCTCCCTGGGCTCGGATGCGATCGCGGAAATTGCGCATCAGAGACATTAGGTACTGAGGCTTATTCAGGACTCCGAAAAGCCTCGACTCCTAAAAAACAACAAATCACATGAAACTCGATGTGACAAAAAAAGGTGCAATGGAAACAACGAACCCTCAGTTGATCAATGACATAACGAGCTTGTTCTTCAGGAAATGAGTTCATCATCTCCACGGCGCGTTCATCAAAGTCATCCATGGTCATATGACCTGACTCGAACAACTTCATCATTGTTTCGGCGACCGACTGCTTCATTTGTTGAGAAATAAGCTTTTTGTAGGTTTCGTCCTCGGCATATTTCTAAACAGTGCAATCTCATTACAATCTTCGTTCCTCTACAAAAACCCGATCCGACTTTTTATGCAATTTCCGTTTTCAGTGTAAGGCTGCGATCATACATTGCGTCAGGTTTAGGGCGTACTGCAGCGTTTCGCGCGACCGCCGCTAAAAGCCCAAATTTCCTGCGAAAAAAAACCCTGGCGTACGCTCAACCCGTTCCATCGATATCAATACTAGCATGAACGTAGCCTGAGATATAAACAACTTAGTTTCTCGCTAATGTGCTTACCGAGCCATCTGTCACATGCATTAATTCTTGGGACGTAATTGCGACTTTGAGTTACAGCAGCGAGCTTCGCCTATACACCATTTCTTTACTCTTTTAGTGTAAGATGTCGATCCCGCAAACAGCGTCTACCAATATCCATCAGTTACTGGGAAATACGGACCTAGCGTCCACAAGCGTCCAGGAGTGGAGCTTATAGGGAGGGGCTAATGCCGTTTGGACTCCAGAAATTTCGGCACCGAGCTCATTTTTAATTGCCTAAGTCACCAAATCCGCTAAAAACTTGTATATGGGGTAATTTACCATCCTGATCACGAATATCTGCGCTCTGCTAAGGCTGAGCCCAGGAGGTAATCGTAGTGTCCTCTCTTGGCGCCAGCGACAAGAGTGAATGTCATATTCGTAATCAGGATGTTAAACTACCCCTATATACAAGTTTTTAGCGGATTTGGTGACTTAGGCAATTTAAATGGGCTCGGTGCCGAAATTTCTGGAGTCCAAACGGCATTAGCCATAGGGAAGCAGGACGGTAGCAGACTGCTTGTAGAGTGTGAGGAAGTAGGAGCGCAGACGGCTGAATTAGGCATCGTGAATTGCGACCTGTGCAACCGCACCGTACTACTGCACAATACGTTCTCTAAGTGTAATGCTCTACAGTTGTGCGCTATTGCTGCCCACGCCACAATTTCACGACGTCTGATCCAGTTGTCTGCTACCTGAAACTTCCCCATAATCTGTCATCAGTGTGCTGCCCTCTTACTTCTCCATGCTTTCCACAACCGGACGTTGGGACTAGCTAGATCGATATATAATTTTCCTGTCACTGGCGCTGACGAACGCTCGAAACTTAGAAGAACGCTGTCGCAAGGGACCACACTTCGACGATAAAGTGATTCTGATTACCCCTTCTTTTTCTATGTAGCCGCCGTACACCCTCAAACTACGATCGCGCCGGCGATTTTGCCTAAACCTCAGGTTGTAGAGTTATACGAAAAGACTCA